TAATCTTCTTTGCAGCCCTGATGCCAACAGCACTTAGGAGATGTTCCTGTTAACACATGCTTTTCTTGACTACCTGTACCCCGACCTCTGAGTGGAGAGTGACAATCCTTGTGATCTGCATCCCTGCTAGTACGTCACCCCCTTTCACACCCTACTTCGCAGGTCTTCCTCAGTTTCTTCATTGAATGTGGTGAAGCTCAGCTTGCATAACGATGATGGCAGGTTAGGTAAACGACGCTCAGATCTTGGGTCAGGCGAGCGCGCAAGCATAAATACGCGCGCACTCCCAGTCGAGTCTCAGCACAGTGAGTGTGAGCACTACCTGGTGAACCGTTGTTCTTTTTTTTTCTTTGAGACAGGTCTCGCTCTGCTTGCCCAAGCCTGGAGTGCATGGGCGTGATCCTCTGATTACTGCAGCCTCAACCTCCTGGGCTTCCCAGCCATCCTCCCACCATCACGCACCCACCTCTCACGAATAGCTGAAACTACAGGCCATGCACCACCACACCAGCGTAAATTTTTTGTGTTTTTTTTGTAGAGATGGGGCCTTTCAACCCGTGTCTGCTCAGGCTGGTCTGGAACTCCTGAGCTCAAGCCATCCCGCCCCGTCTCCAGCCTTCCCAAAGTGCTGGGATACATAGGGGGTGTGAGCCCGCCGAGACCCCTGGCGCGCGCGCGCGGCCTACTCTGTCGCGAGTTTTAGACAACAACCTCATCACATCACCTAGTACGACTGTCTACGCCTACACGCCTTAGACCACGTGACCCGCAGTTCTCACGGATCCGCGGGCTAAGATAATCCTACTACACTTCGCTCCTTCCACGCCTCCACTGGTCTTACTCGATGGTACTACAACCAAGTTCTGGAAACCTCTCGGGTTTCGCTAGCTCAAGAACATTCGACTTTGGAATGCCAGACCAAGCCTGCTATTAAATCCTCGGTTCTACTCACTTAGTTACCACTTTGTGCTTCGACTACTGGTGTCATTTTTTCATGCTGCGCTCAACATGCACATCTGTCCCACTTTTTAAATATTTTCTAGCCTAAAACCTGAAAAGGTGAAATATAGCTGCTGTGGACAGGAACCACACCCTGCGTGTACAACAGGTATAGTGCTCAACGCTGTATCGATTTCCTGCCTGACTTTGAGAACTGGAGTGTCCTCATTCCAGTAACGTGGCGTTTTGTAAAATTAATAGAGATTTATCTTTGCAAACAGTAAAATTAAGGGTTTTTGAAATTCAACCTGGCTAAGTACACCATTGCCTTTGCAAATATAACTCAACATAATAGCTCAAATGGCTTGAAGAAAACAGCTTCCTTTTCTTGGATATATCGTGGGACCCAGCGTCTCCTCAACCTGTGTGTCCCACCTTAGGGGCTGTGTTAGTTCCTGTTTCTTGCTCTTCTACAGCAACCTTTCTTACACGTCAGGTTGAGTGAAGGCACCCCGGAAGGCTGTTGATGTGAGCGACGCACAATTCCCATCCCCGCCCGGCACAAAACCCATACACCAGCCCTTTTCGTGGTGTGTGCTCGTGCTGTCTGGTCGTAACAATTAACAAGTCGCTTTCTAAATTTATATGGAAACCCAATTGGCCATAAGAGGAGCCAAAACAATTTCTGAAACATATACACATTAAACTGAGGACTCGGCCTACCTGATTCTACGACCTCCACTGTCAAAGCTGCGATATCAAGACGCGTGTGCGCTATTGCCAACAAAGCATAAGCACCACAAGCAGACTTATCGGAACAGCGCGCGAATAGAGTCCTGCCCAGTAGACACCCGTATACGTCACTATGGCCCACTTGATTTTTGGAGAGATGCTGCAAATTCACTTAGAGAAAGAGTAGTATCTTCAGCAATGCTGCGGTAACAACCTAGACGCCTCCAAGGACCTGACCACTGGTGCAGTTCTTCCTAACCAACCTCCCCCTGCCCCTGCCCTGCCCCGCACCCCAACCACTTATTCTGTCTTCAGGATGCCTTTCACTACCGTGTCCAGCGTGCTCTCCACCTCTCCACTACCTTTCCTTTCTAAGTGGTCTTTTCTCTTTCTCTAGGCTTTCGGATTATCTTTTGAGACCCATTCAAGTGTTCACCTTCTCTTCCATGGAACATTGTTGTGACTGTTCACAACTTTGTGTTCATTCTATTTGTTTGAACTTATTTCACACATCCTCACCAACTCTGGTTTGCTTCCATGATTGCTGTTAAATGTGCTTCCAATTTTCTTGTGACCCTTGTAGGTGTATTTTCCCATTTGAAAGCTAATCTTCTGTTTCCCCAATTAGTTTCCCTCTCTTCTTAAAAACAAAAAATAAACCATAACAATAACTTTAAAATTTTTTACTAACTCCAGGCTGATTCTGCCCTCATTTCACCCTATTAATTTACGCCACAGCTTTTAACTTCTCGTGTTATCTGTTTTCCCTGACGTGCTAACAATTGTGTCGTTAAAAATCTTCCCATTAATTTACAACTTACTGGAAATGTGTATAATCTAGGCCATGATGTACTTTTTATTTAATTAACTGAGTAATTAACAAACATTTTTACATACTTTAAATGAGCCGAAAGCCTGTCTCTAAGATTTTACAAATCTGCAGCTATTACAGTCCCTCATAACAACTCTTATGCAACCGTACCGTACTACTTATTATTCCATTTTATAGACTCAGAAAATCAGGCCACACAGAGGGTTCATGGCTTGCCCAAGGGTCCCACAGGCTTTGGTAAGTGGTAAAGCCAGAATTCTGCACACCAAGCCAGTCTGGCTCTGGAGTCTTTCTCCTAAACAGAGTGCTATGAGTGACTCTTATTTGCTAGGGAGTTTTAAAATGAATACAACATACGATTATCCTGTTTCCCTAAATCCTAGATTCTTTCTGGATTTGCCTCGCTTCTCTACTCTTATCTTTCCATATCCTTCCATCTCTCTATGGGTACAGAGTTAAAATTAATGGGACCGTCTCTTTTAACAATGACTTTGCAATTTTAAACTAGTCTTGGAGTTACTTATTCTTGTTTTTTACTCTGATTTAATAAAGTACTACTATACAAATCGCTCCAATGCACGTTCATTTCTTTCCTTTTTCAGCTTTGCTAGTTACATTCTAGATTCGATGTCTACACATCTCACAAAAATATGTGACCTTGCTTGTTTTTTGCTGTATTCTTTGACGATGAAATGAAGTTGTCTCCAAATAATAGGATAATGATAGCTTTCAACTTTCTTCACTGTTAAAGAGGAAATCGCTGCCTATACACTGACCTGTCTCATAAAAAGGGGGACTCTATAGTCTGTTGATGTTTTTCTTTTCCATGTGCAGAAAGGAGGCATGTATATGCAAACTGGTGGAAATGATGAAGGAAAGTTTGGGGCTGGGTGACACTGAAGAAAGAAAAACACTTTTCATGTAATTAGCTTTTTACATCCGAGCATAAGATTAAACAGCTCTTCTGCTGATCTAATACTTCAGCTGCCCTAACTGGTGAGGCCTTGTTTCTTTTTCAGTCTGGGACACATTCCTTTCCTGTAGATCAATATATGCCAACTCAGGTAAACTGAAGGGACGCATTGCTGTTTAGTTTTCTTTCATTGACTATCTATGTGTTTTCAGAAAACATTTAAATATACTACTTAAATCTTGCACATACTGCAATTTTATGCTTATTTATGCTTATTTTATGCTTATTTGTGCCTTATTTAAATATACATTTTAAAAGTAATTGGCAAATAAGCTCTAAGCTATGCTCCTATCTACTCCTTTAGATATTCTTAATACTTATTTTTTTCATTGTGTGCTCTAAAGTTCTACTTACAGTTTTAGCTGAAGTTGCTATCAGAAACATCCACAGAACATACTTGCAGCATATGTGTTAAAACTGTGATTTGTAACAAGTCATTGTACTCTCTGCCCTCCCTAAACAAAGCCCATATGAGACATTCTTTAAATTTGGAGCCAAGATCAGCTTGATCTCACTGAAGCTGCTGGTTAGCTGCTTTGTTTCAAGCAGGAGACTATGTAACATCCGGTGTGTACTCTATCAGGAAAGTCAGAGTTGTATCTGAACTATCTGAAGCTCTATCCTTTGGATTTTGTCAGCCCTTAAGTTAGCATTTTGACATCCTTTCAGTTGTTATTTTCATTTATTTGTTTTGCATTACTGAACCACTTCAAAATGTAAATTATTTAAAATATATAAATAAATCTTGAGAATTCCTTTCTAAAATATTTTTCCTAGATTTTTTCTGACATCAAAACCCTTATCAGAAATTATATAAGTTACCTATTTTTGAAATGTTTTACATGATATTATATCTTCATCCTCTAAGGCTAGCTTCTGTGTTTTCAGGTTTAAATTGTAAGGAAAAAAATATGTAGTTTGGGAATAACATTTTTCCTTTCTTTTTCTTTTTTCAAAAAAACATTTTTCATTTTTTCCACCAAGCCGGGCTCTCCAAGGGGCAAGGTATTTTCAGGGCTTTTTTTTTGACTTTGCCAGGTGGGTTAATGTGGACCTGTGGCTGTTCTTTCCAGTTTTCAAGTTGGCAGGGTGGGGATGGCCTTGGGGAAAGGGAGGAGGGAAAACCATTTTTCTTTTAAGGACCATTAGGGGAATGGGGAAAAACGGGGTGATTGTTTGGGGGAAAAGGGCATTCTGTCTTTGCTATTGAGATAAAAAAAAATATGGGCCCAGGTACTAAATGATTTACATTTTCAGGCTGGTTCTTGTGTTCTTTAAAATCATTAATAGGGAAGGTAATTTTTTTCACAATATAATGAACTTCTTAAGTGCTTAACTGGTGGTAAATGTTCTTAGGTTTACTTTACTTGGTTTTAAAAAGATAACATCATTTTTATGACTATAAAATAAATGTCTTCTTTTGGAAGTCATAATGGCTTCAGAAAGCTGATCTACCTTTTAAACACTTTTCTCCCTCCTTAGTATTTTTCTTTGTTAAGAGGATGGAAAGACTTTTTATTGGGTGACATTGCCTAGGCAAAATTGGGTTTAAAAAATGTAACTAATGTCTGTGTCCCTCATCAAGTGACCATTGGAAAACCTGTCTCCTGGATCTCTTGTGGATATTACCATTCAGCTTTTTAACAAGTAAGACACATTTTGAAGTCATCATGTTATCTCCCACTTCTGTGTTATTATTAAATTAATAATGAAATGATGTAACATATTCTCTGGTTCTATAGAAATAATGCCATGGTTGTTCATGTAATGAAATTGTTTTGGTCTGTTTTAGGTCACAGTATTTCCCCATTTATATGATAAGAGTTCATAATTTCAAACTGTGTCTGACATGATCACTTTTTAGGTGAATATAGACCGCCACAATGGAAAAAGAAACAGAAAAAAGAACAAACGGAATGGAATGTTTTTTAGCATATTCTCAGGTTGTACATAAAATGAACTTTTATACCCGCCATTTTGCTGAGATTTCATTTACATCAAGCTGATATGAAACTGTCAGTAATTTTCACCATAGCCATTATTTTATGACTTTAATCACTTAAAGCAACTTCTTTACAAATTTTGGAAAAACTCATGTATAAGGGGTTTTACTTAATATGTATTTCATGATAGATGAAAGTGTTACCATAGAAAAAGCATTTTTTTTTCTCTTTGTTGAATTTGTAGTCAAAAAAGCAGATTCTTTATTTTTATTTTAATAGTTTGGTGGGTACATTAATATATATGTGGGTAATTATCATAATATATGTAGTGGGTACTTTTTATTGTATATATATGGAATACGTGAGATTTTTTACAGGCTGTGATGGGTAATAATACGTCGTGGGAATGGGGTATCCATCCCCTCAAGCTTTACCTTTTTGGTTTCACACACATCCAATGATACTCTCTCAGTTATTTTAAGATGTACAATATTTTGATTGTAAACATCCTGTTGTGCTGTCAACAACTAGATACTTATTATTTCCTAATTTTGGACCCATTAACTCACCCTCCTACACACACCCCACTCCCCTTCAGCCTGGTAACAATCCTTCTACTCTTTATTTCCATGAGAGTTGTTTTTGATTTTTACCATCCCACAAATAGTGAAAAAACATCAGTATGTCTTTCTGTGCCTGTTTATTTCATTTAACTTATTGACTTCCAGTTCCCATCCATGTCATTGCAAAATGACTGGATCTCTTCTTTTTCATGGCTGAATAGTACTCTATGGTGGATAAGACACATTTTTTCTTTTTTTTGAGACGCAGAGTCTCTCTTTTGCCCAGGTTGGAACAGTAGCGCAATCTCAGCTCACTGTATCCTCCGCCTCCCGGGTTCAGTGATTCTCCTGCCTCAGCCTCGAGTAGCTCGTATTACAGGCGCCACCATCATGCCCAGCTAATTTTTTTGTATTTTTAGAGCAAGAGGTTTCACCATGTGGTCAGTCTGGTCTTGAACTCCTGACCTCAGGTGATCCGCCCACCTTGGCCTCCAAAGTGCTGGGATTACAGGTCTGAGCCACGCGTCCAGCTCCACGTTTTCTTTATTCAGTCATCTGTTGAATGAACACTTTAGGTTGCTTCCAATCTTGGCTATTGTGAACAGTGCTGCAACAACATGGGGAGTGCAGATATCTCTTTGATATCCACGATTTCTGTTTCTTTGGGTATATACCCAGCAGTGGGATTGCGGATCATATTGAGCTCTGTTTTTAGTTTTTTGTGGAACCTCCAAACAGAATAGTTTATTTCCTAATAAAAATGCAGAACATATACCTAAGAAGTTATGTTTAAAGACTTCCTACAATTTTTCACCACTGATGTTTAAATCCTCATGTTCGTATTTTAAATTCGTGTTCTAATTCAAGTTCATATTATAAATTATATAAAATATTCAATTTTTAGATTGTTTAGGTAAAATCTATGGAGTTTCAGGTATTATCCCTGATTTCTGTCTTTCTTCTCTGATATCTTAATGGCATCCGAGCATTTCAACCAATGATTCACTGATTTAGGTGTAGTACAATAG